CACTCCCTGGCCATAGCAGAGAGCTGGCCTGGAAGAGGGGCAACCGGGACAGAATCCGGCGCCCCAACCGGGACAAGAACCCGGTGTGCCGGCGCCGCAAGGTGGAGGATTAGCCTAGTGAGCCACGGCGCCGGCTCACATCCCAATTCTGAGACTAGCATTTAGCAGATGTTCAGTAAGTATTTTTTGAATTAAAGAGATCTTTCTTCTAATTTCTAAGTGCATGTTCCTTGGGGCCATTTGGGAAGCGAACCAGCAGATGGGAGATCTCTCTTCTCTGTAGCTCTGCCTTTCAAATAAGTAAATCTGTAAAAAAAAGAAAATGCAAAGCAAATCACTTTGTTGGTTCTTCCTTATTGTGGTATTTTGATGGTGATTTTCTGTTTCTCCTGTTTTTATACTTATTATTTGGAATTTTTGTGTAAAGAAGTTACCTCTCCTCCACATTTGTTTGTTCATGGTGTTATTTATTCATGTAAGTATCACTGCATGGATTTTTGTTTTATTCTGTGATTTAGAATTCAATATTATTGTCATTTCTTACTATCCTTTCTCTTAGTGATCAAATTTTCCCAACTTTGGTTACTGGTAGCTTTTTGCATTGTTTCTTATGTCCTCTATATGTTTCATTTGATCAATTTTTAAATTTTCTGGTATCAATGTAGTCTAGTGTCAAGATATTTTCTCTGCTTCAGCCTTCTAATCAACTATTTCTCCAGGGAACTGTGGTTATTTGTATTCATTTTAAAGATTTATTTATTTGGATGGTAGGACAGTAGAGGGGGTGGGGGAGCCAAAGTGAGAGGGAGAGGGGAAGAGGGATAGGTATCTTCCATCCTTCGGTTCATTTTGCAAGTGGCTGCAACAGCCAAGTCTGGGCCATTCTGAAGCCAGGAGCCAGGGACCTCATCTTGGTGTCCATGTGGGTGGCAGGGGCCCAGGTACTTGGACCATCTTCTGCCTTTGCAGACACAAAAGCAGGGAGCTGGATCCCAAGCAGAGCAGCTGAGACTTAACTGGCACTCTGATATGGGAAACTGGCATTGCAAGCAGGGGCTCAACTGTTAGAGTGCACCGTAGTGTTGGCCCCTGTGGTTCATTTTAATGGAGAGTGGTGTTTAGAAACCAATTTTACTGGATTGTGTTATTTGTATGTTGTTCCTTTTAGCATTCAGAATATCTGGTCAATTACTGTTTTTCATAGTGAAGTTTGTTATTGACTTACAATACTGTTAGATTCATTTGTTAAAGTTTGTAATTCATTTTGTTCAGGCCTCACAATTCTGGTTGATATTTTGAAAGCCTATTGAAATTAAAATTCCTTTTGATATCATTATAATTTTATGGGTTTTAACAAATGCAGACATGGCTTCTCCATTTAGAGTCATGACACAGGACACTTACATCACCTTACATGCTATGTTTTAGAGAAAAATACTGAATAAAGATTGTTACATACCTAAAAATTATAGGAACATTTTTGTTTGGATTTTGTGGATGTTCTTTTCTGGTGTGAATAATCAAATTAAGAACCTTTTTGGAATAATCAGTGATTGGAATACTAAGTGAATTGAAGAGAGACTTCACTGCCTGAATTCATTGTCATTTTGTATTCAATGCTACATTATGGATTTTTCAGCTTTTAAGAAATTGGTATTTTTCATACTGTAAATTTAGACAAAACAAGTAAAAATAATTATCAAAATATCAAATATGTACTTCAGATCACTTACCACTTATCATTACTTTGTTTATTCTATAGCCAAAAAGAAAATTTAGAGGTGACACTATCTTATCTTGGAACTTGAAAAATATTGATCAGTGGAATACATTTTATTATATACAGTTCTGTCTCATAAGTAGAATAAAAGTTTTATTTGTAGATCATGAATAAATGACATAATGAGGATGGTGAGGTAGGGATGGCGAGGGGATTGGAGAGAGGGAGAGAAAAAACAATAACTGACATGAAGAAGCATGGGAAAAATATTCAGTTTTTCCAGAAAGCATGGTGTAAACATTGACATGTTGTTCTTACATGTGTGTGGTGCCTGGGGAGCAGGGGGAGAGAGAAAGGAGGGAGAGTAAAAGATTATGAATGGAATGACCACCTTATGTTGGTAAGGGTATATAACTCTCACATCCAACACATTAATGCAGATAACGTTAAAATTTCATATGGATGGTGTTCTCAGGAACTGCCGCTATGGTAATCAAAAAATATTGACAGTCTGTCAGACACTGATGCTGACTGATGGGCGTTTTCTTTAAAAAAAAATATTTTCCACATTATCTGTGAGGGTAAAACTATAAACTTACATGCATGGATTTAAACTTTTTTGTATCAAAATAAATATACCTCTTAATTTCCATTTTCTGTAGACTTTTGAAATACTCTCATATATTCGAAATGCTACCTTTTAAATATGATTGTGTAAAAGATTTTACAATTAAATTTGGTAATTTTAGATATGCTGTATTAAATACATAACAGTTTTCTTTAAGACAAAAATTTTAAGTTATTCTTAACATGGAAAATACCTTTTCTTCTCAAAATAAAATATAAGACAGCTAGTAACAGTTCTTCTACATAGTTTTCAACTATTTTGGTATAGGGCCTTGTCTCCTAAAGTAAGTTTTATTTAACTTTGAGTTTAATAAGGTTATCATTTTACTTTATGGAAATATATCCATAGCATTTTTGCAGTTGGAAATACAGCCCGTGCAGTTGAATATAATTGAATGTACTTATTTTTGAGTTTTTTTGAAATTGGGAGCAGTTTCATATGAGAACCCTATTTTCCTGTGACAACATTATGCCTTTTTTTGAACTGTTATCCTGTAATTAGCAATACTTTTTCCTTTTCTTGTGGTTGCCGTGCTGTATGGTTATCTGAATGCTCTGCCTCATTATTAATCCAGACATTGTGCTCTTGGACCAGCTTATTCTCCCTTTGGTTGCTTACCGTTTGTCTTGCTTTCCTGGGTCTGGTGGGTACAGAGAACTTTGAGTCCTTTTACTGTAACACAGGGTAGGATGCCTGTACTCTCTTCTCTCCCTGTTTCATACATTCCTAGTGTCTCTGAGTGACTCATGGGAGCAGCTGTCTCTTATCCACCTAGGAAGGGAAGGATTGAATTTCTCCTTATATTCTTTTGCTTTAATTCTTATTTATATATTTATATAAAGGAAAATTTCATGTATTTCATGTATATAATTTTTAAGATTTTATTTATTTATTTGAGAGGTAGAGTTATAGACAGAGGAAGAGAGAAAGAGAAAGACCCTCCCTCCTCTGGTTCACTCCCCAGCTGGCCACAAAGGCCAGAGGTGTGCTGATCCGAAGCCACGAACCAGGAGCTTTTTCCTGGTTTCCTATGCAGGTGCAGGTGCAGGGCCCAGGGACTTGGGCCATCTTCTACTGCTTTCCCAGGCCACAGCAGAGAGCTGGATTGGAGGAGGAGCAGCTGGGACTGGAACCAGCGCCCACATGGGATGCTGGCTCCACAGGCAGAGGATTAACCTGTCTGGGCGCCGGCCCCTCCTGTATATAATTTTAAGAAGAACATATTCTCAAATGGCACTATTTAAGCGTCTTTGTCCTATCCACTGAATCTTGTTTGGTTTTGCAAAGGCAGGAAATTTGTTTTTCTTATGTGAATACATCCCTTTAGAGTTCGTACTTGGACTGTTTCAGATGAGATAAATGACCTAAAGACAAGAGAATCCTGTGTAGAAGCTAGTGTGCTGTTCCCTTCCCAACATCTGGCTATTGCGTGTATCTCAGCTGCACTTCTGTGTCTGCATCACTGGGCCTTCCTCAGTCCCTCTCTACCACAAGAGTCACTAGTCTTTGCCCAGAGTCATCCCAATAGAAATAGAATCACACCATCTTTCTTTTGCATATGGTTTCAGCTTTGCCTCTGTGAGATTCCCCAGTGTGACTGCAGGTAAATGCTTAGGGGAAATTGGTAGGTGGAGGCTCCCATTCAGCCTTGCTAGGGAGGGTGGGGATGACACAGGGGTTTATTTTCTTTCTTCCCTGAGGGGCTTGGCTGGAGTAGAGCACTATATTTTTTCTTACTAGGTTGCCCCTTTCCTTGTCCTTTGAGTAAAGAGAGCAAACGTTTTTTGAGGCACTCACTGGCTTTCCTGGGTTGGCAGCTTGTCCAGCAAGCAGTCTGGGAAGTATGGGGTCCGGACAGCCTCCAGCAGCTCCTCAGTGTGTCATTCTTCACGTCTTTAGTCAGTCAGCCTTCTCTGAGCTTTACCGAGTCTTCTGATTTTTTTTGGGGGGAGGGGTTGTTGCTTTGTTTTACTTAATGACCAGAAATTTTAGCTGCAAGAACATTGGAAATTGTGAGAATATTAGAAAAATGTCAGTCATTTTTCTTTCTGGAATTGGAAATACAATTATTTTACTTTTAATATCTTTTTAAACCTTTGGATCATTAGGAAATAAAATTTAATATTTCATGCATATCTAGTCAATTAACAACAAATATATTGTCTAAAGGAAGCACTTTTAACAGAAATTAATTTGGGGGAAAATATAATCTTATATAATTGTGTTGTGTTTGTAAGGCCGCCACAAAACAAACTAAACACTGGAGTAAGGAATGGAAAGTTTATAGGTGGGGAAACCCAACAGACCAGAGAGTAGGGGCGAAGAAGAAGAAACAGAGAGAGAGGAAGGCATGAGAGAGAGAGAGAGAGACAGAGAGAGACAGACAGACACAGACAGACCTGTGTTCAGGAACAGGTCCTTTTAAAACTTTGATGGGGGCGGCCAGGGAAGTAGGAGCAGTGAATCCCATTAGGGTAGGGGTGGAACTGACACCTGTAGTTAGGCCATGCGGCCACCTGGGTTCCAGCAATGACGGTGGGGGCTAGAGCTTAGGATGGTGTCAGGGGCATGGATCATGCCATCTTACTAACAGTGTTCATAGGAAATCCAGGACTTTAACCCTGTGTAAATTTAAGTTCTCTTTATTTGCAGAACCTGTTAGCTGAAAAAGTAGAACAGCTGATGGAATGGAGCTCCAGGCGCTCAATCTTCCGAATGAACGGTGATAAATTCCGAAAATTTATAAAGGCTCCGCCTCGAAACTATTCAATGATTGTCATGTTCACAGCTCTTCAACCTCAGCGGCAGTGTTCAGTGTGCAGGTAATTTATGATTCTTTTTTCTTTGAAAATTTAGAATTTTTATCCCAGGCTTATCTGTTTAAGATACATATGTAAGCAAATTGAATGGTTCGTTCCGTGTCATGGTCAGATAAACTGTATTCAAAAGTAAGCTCAGGGAAGAGATTTAGCCTAGCAGGTAAGACGTGTGGATCCCATATTGAAGTACAGGTGGTCGACTTCTGGCTCCAGTTCTGACTCAGGCTTCCTGCTAAAACAAATCTGAGGAGGCTGCAGTGATGGCTCAAGTGATTGGGTTCCTGCTGCCTAACATTGGAGACCTGCATAACAGCATTCCCAGCTTCCAGCTTCTGAGACCTGTACTTTCTCTCTCAGTCTCCCATTTCTCAGGTAAAAAATAATGGAAAAAAAAATAAAGTAAGCTCAAAATAAATAGATTGTGGAAAATCACTTTGATAGGTTAATACTATTTTATGATGGGCATGTAAATTATTTGTTGATCAATTTCACACAAAATCATAAAAACTGATTTTTCAACTTTATATCCTTCCTGTTGCTTTGAAGGTCCACTACTTATGTCTTTGGTCAGTGAAGTAACCAATTGAAATATGCTCTTAAATCTATTTTAACAGTTTTAATAAAGAGGGCCAGCTTTTATGTGAGATCTATTTATGTTGGATACCTCTAATGATAGAAGCAATTTCTTCTTATGCTACAGAAGTAAATAATTTGAAATGGCTGAAATATTTGTAATTAGGAACAAACTAACAAAATTTTAGATAAGTACAAATTGAATACAAATCCAGCAAGTACTTTTTATTATTTTTATTTTTCAAAAAATTATATTTATGTTGTACAAGTGTCATGTATTTCACATATATAGATTTAGGAACATAGTGATATTTCTGTCCCAACCTTCCTTCCCACCCAACGCTACAACCCTTCTTCCTCCTCCCTCTCCCATTCTCTTAATTTTTACAAAGATCTACTTTCAGTTTACTTAATGATAATAAATTTAACCCTACAGTAAATAAAAGACTTCAACAAATAGTATGAAGAAAAAAAAAACAGAAGCGAAAGGGGCTGTAAACAGTCGTCAAATCTCAAAATGTCCATTTCACAACAGTACATTACATGTAAGGTACTCTGTTAGTTACCTTGGATCAGGGAAAACATATGGTACTATCTTTTGAGACTGACTTATTTCACTAAGTATAATGGTTTCCATTTGCATCCATTTTATTGCAAGAGACAGGATTTCATTTTTTAATAGCTGAATGGTACTCTAGTGTGTATATACCATAATTTATTTATCCAATCAGTAGTTGATAAACATGTGGGTTAATTCCATATCTTTGCTGTTGTGAATTGAGCTGCAATGAACATGGAGGTACAGATAATTTTCATATGCTTATTTCTTCTGGTTTGGGTACCAAGTACTTTTTAAATTAACTTTCAATTTCCAGCTAATTGTAATTTTTAGAAATAATGCTGAGATATTCTGTATATCATTCATCCAGTTTCCTCCAGTGGTAACATACTATGGAACTGTAGTAAAAAATACAAGCAGGTTGTTGGTATTGACACACTGAGGATATAGAACACTATTCTCCATAGGAATACTCCTTCTTATTTTTTTTTAAACCTACCCATCCTCATTTCACTCACAACCCTTTGAGTCTGACCTCTGTCAATCACTAAATTGCCCTTCATTTCTATAATTCTCTCATTTCAAGAATGTTATCTAAGTGGGATCGTATACTGCGTGACTTTTGTAGAGTTGGCTTTTTTTTTTACCTACTATAATTTTTACTATAATTCACTTAAACTGCATGGAAGTTGGATTTGTCAACAATTCATTATTTATAGCTGAGTAATATTCCATGGCATGTGCATATTTCAGTTTATGTAATCATCCATTTGTTAAAGGCTGTTTGGATTATTTCTAGTTTTTGTTAATCCTAAAATAATTATCAACATTTTTCTGAATGTTTTTATGTAAAGTTTTATTTCTTTGAGGCAAATGTTAGTGTGTGATGGCTGGGTTGTATGATACTTCATATTTAGTTTTATGAGAAACTGCCAAAATGTTTTCTAGAATGGCTGCATCATCTTGTATTTCTAGCACCAGTGTATAAGTGAGTGATCTAGTTATTTTCCTTGTTTTGCCAACATTGGTATTGTCACTATTTTAGCCATTTTGGTAGATTTGTAATGATTTCTCATTGTGGTTTTTGGCATTTACCTAATGACTGATAGTGATAAACATCTTTTTGTATATTTGTCATTTGTATATTCTCTCTGATGAAGTATGTATTTATGTTCTTTGCCCATTTATAGTTGGATTTTTTTTTTTCCCTTTGGCTGAGTTTTGAGAATTTTTAAGATATATTTTAGATACTACTCCTTAATTAGGTATGAAGTTTTCAAATATTTTCTCCCAGTCTGTGACTTGTATTTCATTCTTATTACAGGATTGTTCTGTAGGTTTTAATTTTCATTAGGTTCAATTAACCAGTTTCCCTTTTACAGCTGTTACTTTTATTGTCAAATTGAAGAGCTGTTTGCCTAGCCTTGAATGCTAAGTATTGTCTCCTTTGTTGATTCCTAAAAGTTTTGTAGTTTTTACGCTTTATATTTTGATGAGATCTGGAGGAGAACTATTTTCTCTTTGAGCATTAAGTGTGATTTTAAGTTTTTTTTTTTTTTTTTTGTAACTGATCTTTATCAAGTTGAGGAACTTGTCTAGTCTTAGTTGGATTCTTGTTTTTATCAGGCATGGTTGTTGGATTTTGTCAACAGTTTGTTTCTCATGTCAGTTGGTATGATTTCTTCTTTAGCCTGTTGATACATTGGATTGCATTGATTGCTGTTTAAATGTTGTACCAACCTTTGTATTGTAATAAATCACATTTGATTATGTTATTTTACTGATTTTTGCACTGCTGAATCTACTTGCTAACGTTTTGTTGAGGAATTTTACATCTAAGTTCATGACAGGTTCTAGTCTGTTATTTTCTTTTTCTTTTTCTTTTTTTTTTCTTTTTTTTCTTTTTTTTGACAGGCAGAGTGGACAGTGAGAGAGAGACAGAGAGAAAGGTCTTCCTTTGCCGTTGGTTCACCCTCCAATGGCCGATATTTTCATTTCTTAATTTGTTATTGTAAAGTTTTGGTATCAGGAAAAGATCATCATAAAATCAGGAGGGAAGTGTTCTCTCTTGAACACTTTTTTTTTTGGAAGAGATTGTGTAAAATTAGTGTTAATTATTCTTCAACTATTTGGCAGAATTCTCCAGTGAAATTATCTGGGCTTCGAGATTTCTTGCGTTACTTGTTCCATTTCTTTTTTCTGATGAAGAAACACTTTTTGTTTTGTGGTTCCATGTGCCAGGAATTTTCATACAATTGATTTAGGCTTCTAAATCATTTGAGCTGTAGTGGAATTTCAGATTATTAGTAACCTGGGTCTATGAGAAGAATCAGTTTCATAAACACTAGCTTGCTCATAAGAAATTTCCATGTTTTGAAATTTTGGGGAAGGGGAACTTATCATAACCCATTTATTAAGTGTAAATTGGAAGATGGCTAGAAATGGACAGAGAAGTTTATGAATAAAAATGTATTGATTCTGAGTTCCATTTCTGTCAGATTTGAGGACCAGTACTCAAGAGGGTACCAACATTGTTTTCAGAATTGGGCTAGCATGTGCAAGTATACTGTATCTACCTTAAGGGATGCTATAAAGCCCTACTTGTATGAAAATACAAATTAAATTCACACTTAGGCATAACATTGAAGTTTGCCCTAAGAGTAAAAATCCCTTTTGGAATCATATAATACCATGCGTATTTTTGGAAAGTTATTACTTTTTAGCTCATGAAATAGAAAATGTTGATTTTTTGTTACTGGTAGTATTATGAAGTTATACTTAACTAATAATTATATTTTTTGTAACTGTAATCTAGCAATATTATATCTAACATTTTTTCAGAGTTACATATAATTATAGGTGATGTGATAACAAACTTTAAAATACTGTAAAAAGGTATACACTTTAGGTAGTATTTTACTTAGGTTATGTTAAATGAACTGTTAAATATAGATCCTCAATTTTTTAATGACAGCTAACTTGTTATAACCTTTATTTGCTTTTTGCTTATTCATCATAGCTTATTTTTTAGTAAACTCTTAAATTTTGGAAGAGTCAGATTTATGAGAACAAAAGATTGCTGCTATTAGAAAGTTGTTAAGTAATGAATCAAGATATAGTTGGAGTTGTTAGAGAAGAGAGAATAGGTGAAGGTTTAGATACAAGTAAAATGTCTAGAGCAGATTAATAAACTCCATACCCAGATGTTGTGAAAGAATTGTTTTGGGATAAAACCAAGGCATTAAGTTACTTATTTATTTATTTTTGACAGGCAGAGTTAGACAGTGAGAGAGACAGAGAGAAAGGTCTTCCTTACATTGGTTCTTCCCCCAAAATGGCTGCTACAGGCGGCACTGCGCCGATCTGAAGCCAGGAGCCAGGAGCATCCTCCTGGTCTCCCATGCGGGTGCAGGGCCCAGGTACTTGGGCCATCCTCCACTGCTTCCTGGGTCACAGTAGAGAGCTGGACTGGAAGGGGAGCAACCGGGACTAGAATCCGGCGCCTCAGCCTGGATTAGAACCCGGGGTGCCGGTGTCGCATTTGGAGGATTAGCCAAGTGAGCCACGGCACCGGCCAACTTTTAAAGTAGTATATTCTTGGTAACTTTACAGTGAAAGCTAGAACAGAGAAAGGGAAAGTAAGACCAGGTTCATCTCTAATAAATTATTTTTATTTTCACTGAAGAGAAATGAGAAAGGAATCATTTAAATGGATTGCCGTGTAGCATTGGACATTTTTAAGAACCAGAGCACTTAAATTTTAGTGAAAAATTCTGCAAAATTAATTTATCTTCTGATCCAGTGTTCAGCAGTTGAGGAGTAAGGACCACTCTTCTTGGGGATTACCATGTTTGCTTTATGGTGTAAAGTG